TTCTCTCATAAAATTGCAAGAAAGCTGGGCAAAAATACTTGAGCATAGAGGCAATTAAAGCTGCGACATCGAAACAAGCCAAGACTCTCATGAATTAGCTGCAGAGGTAACGTGCTACTGTAACATACCTACACCACTAAAGCTTTGCAGATCAGGAGTAAACAAGGGCAAATACTTTTGGGGCTGCGCCAACTATCCAAATAGGCAATGCCAGTATTTCAGGTGGGCAGAAGAGCATCATGATAACAACCAGCGTAAGGTAAATTTTGAATGTCCCTCTCCTCAATCAGTTTCCCAAGTTAAAGATGTGGAAACCAAGCACTTGCGAAGAGAATTAAAGCTTGCAAACCAACAAGTTGTTTACTTGAAGAAATGTATTGTTGTTTTAGGAATATTTAGTATTTCCCTTGTTGTCATAAACATTGTAATCTGCTGTTTGAAAATGTAATGCAAAAGTTTGAGAAGAATGCAGGGACTCTTGTGTAAAGTCTGAGTTCAAATACAAATCTGAACAGATTGAGATGAAAATGATGCAGCAAATCCCACCATGCATATAGGTAACAAAAACTTCTGTGATTAAACCAGCAACACAAACTGCACGTTGCATATGCCAGAAACTCCCAAAGTGAGAACAAGAGGAATCACAAGCAATAGGTATCTGAAATCAAACATGATAGCAATGAAAGCATGACAAGCAAAGATATATATTTCAAAGTGTTAATAATCCAATTCAACAGCTTTATATTAAAAGCTTAAGAGTATTATATTCCAATGGTGAGAATGATAAATAAAATTTGACAAATCGAGTTAGTTCTAGTTGTCCTATTGTTAGTTCTAGAACATATCGAGTTAGTTCTACTTCAAGTTGGCGTTATTTCTAGCACAAGTGTTTGTTCTGTGGCCCATGTTAAATAGTATTGACTACAAATAGGTTAGAACTAACAAGATATCGTTTGGACCTAACAAATTTGACCTCGCATAGAGCTGTAATAGAATTCACAACGGTTAGAACTGACATGAAATCGATTAGAGCTAACATGCGATCTCGTGTTTGTTCTGGTGGGCCATGTTATCCCTAGCAGAGTAAGTGTTAGTTCTAGCTGTCCACTTGTTTGTTCTATCCCCTATCGAGTTAGTTCTAGTTGTCCTACTGTTAGTTCTAGAACATCTCGAGTTAGTTCTATTCTTGTTGTCCACCTGTTAGTTCTATCCCCTATCGAGTTAGTTCTAGTTGTCCTA